CCAGATGATTCTCTTTAACCGCCGCAGGGAAGGAGAGGTTTCGAGTATGCCTTTGTCTGCATTTCTTTCAAGAGACACTTCTCATCCACATGAGGATGTGGACTGGGCACTTTCTGAAGTGGAAAAAAAACTCTGCAGACACTTCACAAGGGTTATCACAAGAGGAAAGCGTGGTCGACCAGTTCCAATTCTTTCTGACTCCAAAAATGCTATGTGCCTTAGAACTCCTTGTTAAGCAGAGAGAGGTTTGTGGGGTTCTGAAAGACAATCCCTATATGTTTGCAAAGACAGAAGCCATGACACATTTTCGAGGGTCAGACTGCCTCCGTGGCTTTGCTAAGGTGTGTGGCGCAAAGTGTCCCAAGTCACTGACATCTACAAGACTGCGAAAGCATGCCGCAACGCTTTCAACAGTGCTGAATATGACTGACACCGAGATGGACCAGCTGGCAAACTTCCTTGGACACGACATAAGAATCCATCGTGAGTTCTATCGACTCCCTGAGAAGACCTTGCAACTTGCCAAGATCAGCAAAGTTCTAATGGCACTTGAACAAGGAAGATTAGCTGAGTTCCATGGCAAGAACTTGGATGAAATTGGGATAGATCCTGATGGTGTGGTATTTTATTTGACGTTTGTTTGATTTTTCTGTTTACCATCTATTCAAATACCATATGTTTACGATCTATTATATGCCATTAAGCTTTACTTTGAACTTCCACAGAAAAAGTTCTTAACTCTGATGAGGAAGACGAGAGCATAACAGAGGGACTCTGTTCATCTACTGTTGACGGTTTGTATTACTTTCAAAATACACTACTAGATTTTGCAGTTATTCATAGGTTTCAGTCACTTTACTTGTGAAGACCTGACATGCAAAAACAATGTTCTAACATCAAAGCCAACATTAAAGAAGATTCTTCAGTATGCTGAACAAAAGCTTTTTTTATTAACGAAACTGCTCATTGTGTAATGAATCAAATGCCTCCAAGCTATTCTTCAAAATGTCTTGCACTAAACATTTATTTTGGAGTGAATATTTTTTGTGGACTTTACTACCATAAAAATTATGTTTCATAAGAGAAACGTGCACATTTTTCGTAAAATGCTAGCTGACCCGTTCTCTTCTCGTGTTTGTTGTGTTATGGCACTAAATGAACCATGTCAGATTATCAAGTAATTAACCATTTTATTTCATGTCTTAGTTTGCTTGAGCTTATGTTTGATTAAATGTCTGCTGGAAAGATGCAGTTCAATTATACTTGCAATAATGAAAAATTACACAGGTTTAAGAGTTAATTGTACTTTAATGATTTAAAATAATCAGTGCATAAGTGTGACTAAACACATTGTGTATTGTCTGTTGGAAAATTTTCCTTCGAACCAACAGACATTGGGATATCTTTCAAGCAGGATTCTTTACTGAGAACTCACTGTCCTGTTTATATACCTTTCAAGGGGGAGGGATTTACATAGAGGTGGAGACACTCTGAAACAAAGCATGTAAACGAAGTACGGAAGTCAGTTCATTACTAGAAATTCCCATCCCTGATCTCATTAGCATAACAGTGTCATTCAGATACATGGGTGATAATCCATTCAGCCTGACTATTCAACGACTGGAACGGGCTCCTAGAGCCATTTAAAGAGTAATTTGACTTGTTTAACCTACAATAGAGAAACAGGACTGGCAGGAATCTTTGGCTGGAAACTCTTGAGGAAACTCAATTGTCAGCATTTTATAGTAAATTTTAAAATGTATATCTTTCTGAAAACATTGAACTTTGATTATTTTCCATAGAACCATCTTCAGAGGTGGCACTTCCTCCTACCGAGAGGAGTGACATGCCGCCACCACCCAAGAGACGCAGACTACCAGCAGATGAAGAGATGCCTACAGAAGCCAGTGCTGTGAGGCCTTCTTCCAAAGGTGAAATCTTTACACGTTTCTAAAACTAAATTAGACAATTTAGGAGCACTTTGATACCCAGATTTCAGACCAGATCACTAAATGCTGATTTTGTTTTTTTTGCCATTTCCTGTTTTCTGCCATTTTGAGACGTTTCCGCCAAATCTTTAGTGATTTGAAAACTTGCAACTTAATTGTTCCTCTACACCAGTCCTTAGGTCTTTACACTGGCTCCCAGTTACATTTAGGATTGATTTTAAAGTATTATCACTGTTGTATAAATCATTTAATGGGTTAGGACCTCAATATATTGTAGATATGCTCACTGAATATAAACCCAACAGATCACTTAGATCACTAGGATCACATCAGCTAGAAATACCAAGGGTTCACTCTAAGCATGGAGAGTCTGCTTTAGCTATTATGCTGGAACCAGCTTCCAGAGGAGATCAGGTGTGCTCCTACAGTTGTCACATTCAAATCCAGACTCAAAACACATCTGTTTAGCTGTGCATTTACTGAATAAGCACTGTGCCACTGTTCGTACGACTGTTACTGTATTTTATTTAATGTTCTTATTCTAAACTGTTTTAATTATTTACTGTATTTTATTTTTTATTCTAAATTGTTTTAATTATTCTGATTTATTTTGATTATTTGTATTTCTTCTATGCAAAGCACTTTGAGTTACCATTGTGTATGAAAGGTGCTATATAAAAAAACTTGCCTTGCACATGAATTTCAATATCATAATGCTCAGGAACCCTTCTGTAGTTTAGTTGTCTTGGGCGGTGAGAAGTTGAAATCAGGTCAACTTTTATGGTAATGAGCTATGACGTGGTTCTGCGGCACCCAATTGTAATGTAGAAGTGCTCTGCTTTAGAGGATTCCAGAGAATGCAGTCAAGTAACTTTGGTTCCGTCCACATTATTTCCCAAGCACAATAGGAGAGATTGATCATTTGAATTTGATAAGAAGGCGCGCAACACTGTCTATAGGCTTGATTTTCGTGCTAGAACACTTGTTTATCAGTGGGAATGTAAAGTTGAATAGCACTTAACCATTAACACAAAAGCCACACCACATAAATGGCTTTTAATTGGTTTATTTCATTCGCAAACATGTCACTATAATAAAGTTATTTCCTTTGATCAATGTTCTGCAAAAATAACTAATTGACATGCTTGTTTGCTTTTGCGGCCCCTTTAAATGGTTTAAAAAAAGACCAAGCATTCGATTTATGTCAGAGTGTCCACGAATCTTTCCACGGCCTCGCTGGCCTGACGGCCAGAGCGATATTTTTTTTTTCCTCCCCCCGAGCTTTCTATAGTGAATTATCGTGTGTGTGAGTTGAGTATATGCTGAGTTTCGGCTCATTTCTGTTGTGTACCGAGACATAATGAAAACAATCAGGATGTGTATGAATAAAATGACAAGAGTATTGTAAGTAAAATGATTGTGCTGGTGCCTGTATGTCCTGCAGTAAAGTGTCTCCACACACGCACACAGATATGAGTCTAATGTTAATCTGATAAATGTCTTATTAGAGTGAGTGACTTGTAAAGTTACTACTACTTGCATGTTTCAAGTGATGAGCCATATTTAAGGTCATTGACTGATAGGCGAATGTTTGGATTTCATTCAGACTGCCGTTATTGATTTGTCTGTCAAAGCCTGCGTGATAACCTGCAAGCTTTTTTTTTCTTCCTGCGACTAACTAATAAAATCGTAGTTGATTATTAGAGGGCAGACCTAATAAATACTGATTATAGGATTTAGAACTACAGATTGTAATTGCAGCACACACACTTTTATCATTTCAATAGTTTTTTTTCTGTCCACTTAGGTAAAAGTACCCAGAAGACACCCTGGCAGCAGACAGAGGTGCAGGCGGTGGAAAGGCACATGCAGCGATTCATCACATCGCTCACTGTACCAGCAAAGAGCGACTGTGAAAAGTGCTTGAAAGCTGAACCAGGAGCACTGAAGAACCGTGATTGGAAGAATGTAAAATTTTACATTTATAATCGTATTACAGCTTACAAAAAGAAATTCCAGTGCAAATAATAATAATGTGAACATCATGGCAGGTTTTGTTCAAAGATTTTAAAGGGTTAAAGATGTTTTAAGGTTTACTATCCCTTTAAAACTACAGAAACACTTGTAGGCTATAGAATACTTTTGTTTGCCATATGTTTTATGATGACTGTGATGGCCACCAGTCGGAAAACATTGATCAAACAACATTTCAAATAGAGTGTCATGTTTGCAGTACAGTATGTTTATGATGACCGTGATGACCACCAGTCGGAAAGCATTGGTTGGACAAAGTTAATTTAAAGTCGTAGTTTGTTTAAATTCACATGTATGTGAAAGGAAGCATGTGTGAAAGTTATTTTATTTTATATACTTTTAATATCAGGACCTTGTTTTTAGGTATGACTTCATTTTGAGTTTTGTGAAGCTGAGTTCAATAAAAGTTGAATTCCGCAATCGTAATGTGAATTAATGTATTGAAGCTCAATTAGTAGTATGTGTCTCAAATAAGTGTCAGGTGAATGAGAAGCAGCTGATGCTTGGAGGAGGTTGACTGAAAAATTACAATAATAGAAAGGATAATTTGTGGGTATGAAATGGGTCACTAGCACCATATGCGGGCCTTACTATATCTCCACATTAAGTAATCAAAGTTGTTCTACTGCATATTTTAATTCTCCTTGCTTGTAGATTAAACCCATTTTTAAGGGCAACTGGATAAATGAAATCTGAAGATTTGCTAGTGTAAATGCCTATTATTTTTCTATCTAGGTCCCCACAAATCAACTGGGAGGTTGTGTGAATTATGCAAATTGGGTCCCCACAAATCGAAAGGGAGGTGTGAATTATGCAAAGTGGGTCCCTATGAGACATGTCCACTCGATTTTTCAAATGTCCCCATTGTGCATGATCAAATCATTACTTCATCAATTCAGATATTTGAAGGCGTGTATAAGTTGTCAAAGTTATGGTAAGTATCCCTAATTTTTTTTATACTTCTAAACCCTTTAGAAAGGGTGGTCCCCACAGGTGATGGTCATAAAGTTGGTCCCCATCCAACATGGAAACCAGTATGTGTGTGTGTGTGTGTGTGTGTGTGTGTGTGTGTGTGTGTGTGTATGTGTTTCCCTTTTGAGTCTGCTTTTAGGCTATACCTACTTGACTTATACTGACAGAAAGGTTTAAGTATTTTGCCTACTTGTACCTATCTTTTGATCGCGATATAGGCCTACTTTAAAAGTAGCCTATAGTTAAGTATTCTAAGTATACTTGGCTGTTATAGTTGTGTTTAATCTTTTATGAATATTTTGATTGAGTAGCCTATTAAATACCCTTTTCACATAGTTTACATAATGTCTTATAAACTTATATTATTTAAAAATATTGATTAATAAAGACAACAGAAATGTCTATGGCACTGTCAGAACTCTCTCAATACATGGCTCTGGTTACCCTTTAAGGCCTGTTTACGTGTGTTTTAGCTGGGTTTTCGCCTGGAAGGCTCTATAGAAATCTGGCAACCTATTGTATGAAGTTAAACCGAGACACCAGGCACCACAATAAATGCGTTCACATTAACGTTCAGGCAGTAATTTAGTACGTTCAGTTCACGTTCGCCCAAAATGAATGCCTTCATTAAACGCGTTCAGGCACAACACAATAGGAACAAAGTAGTTTACTTAAAGTGTAAAAATAATATATGAATAGTTAACTATGAGTATGATGTTTTGTTCACTTAAAGAAAACAAGTATATGTGTAGTATAAAACTACTAAACCAGGTATTTACTGAGAGTTCAAAGTAGCCTATACTTTTATAAACTAAAAAGAGTACAACTAGTATTAAAACTAGTTGTAGTTCTAGTAAGTTAACTTTTACTGTAGTACCGATGCAGTGCAAATGAGAAACGTAGATGTGCACTTAGTGTTTGATACAGTTACACTTACAGTATACGTAAACATGTACTTTATATAGGCTACTAAAAGTGGGGCAATTTAGTCCCAAGCAGTATTGAAATAGGACACAAGTTTACTACTGGGCCACATTGACATTAGTATACTCACTACGTAAAGTACTTGAACATTGCTGAAGTATACTTCATAAAATGAACTTGAAGTATACTTCTTTTTTTGTAAGGGTTGTTAATCTGTCTGACCCGTATCTGCCCAACTGTTCAGACACAACACACACTTCATCAACATGGCTTGTTAAACAAACAGGAATGACCGTGCTGAGTTTAAGCCTGTCCACACCTCTTCCTGTACAACACAATGCTGTCAGAGACCAGCTCATAAATTTATCAGAAAATAATACACCTCACACATGAAGTAATATATATGATGTAACAGTTTGTTTACCCAGGACTGTATGCCGTCAACCTCTCTGAGCTATGAGTTGTTTCTCCTCTGGACTGAAGGTGAGAAGTAATGTCTTCTTTTTGTAAAAAATGTGACCGTTCCAGTAATTGTGTAATGATAGCAATGTGAAAGAAATATTTGTGTATCTATTTTTTTTTCATTTAAAAATAACCCATCACTAAAAATCCATTTTTGCACAACGTCACATATCTATTTTTACAGAAAGATATGTTGTGATCTTTTATGTAATGTAATGCCAATCCTCTGCTCGACTGTTTATGAGAGACGTCTGCATTCTTAGACTTGTGTGTTTGTTTTAAGAGGTGTCCCAAGTGAGGCCCAATGGGGAACTAAGGTCACACCAGTTGACCTGTAGATGTGAGGTGTGTGTGTGCGTGTGAGTGTGCATTGTCCATAACCCTGTCTGAGTCAAGGGTTTACTTACACCCTCTTTTTTTTTCTTTTTTTTTTTTGGTTTGCAGTAGGACACTGAAGGATTAAAGATGTCCCACAGAGATCAGTCGCAACACATTCTGAAGACTGAAACCTCAGCATGATTTTAACAGCCTGCAAAGCTTAAAGGTTTCTCGACCTGCGCCAACCCTAAGCTGGAGTATGTGGGATAAATTTGTTGCATCCAGAGACACACTTGTAAATTGAGGGAGATATGACATGACAATGAAACCTGAAAACAAATGAATTGTCATTCCAAGTGAACCCCAATTTTGCAAGAACATTTGCATGCAAATTTATAAACCATCCTCCACATAATAACATTATAGTTAGTTTCTCATTAATGCCATTGTATGAATTCAAAAGACTTGGAATATAGCACACAAGTTGTATGGACTACATTTATAATACTTTATGGTGCTTTTGCATCAAACCTCTATTTATATAATGCTTTATGCAGATTGTTTCAAAGCAGCTTTACTGTGATAAACAGGAAAATAATGATCAATGACACAAACAGAATTCAATTCGGCTGTTAATAACAAAAAAGAGCATGCAGCTTGTTGACAGCTTCTTGAATCAGTTCAGGTGTTGAGACAGAGAGAGAAAGTTTCCATAACTGTGTTCCTCCTATCAAATGCACCTGTTGGAAAGTCCACCTCACATTACAGATGTGTTTGCCGGAGAGAGAGAGAGAGCGAGCGAGCATTTGAATAGGAGGATAAGGTGATGGATATTAGGGTGTCCAAGGAATGAATGAAGCACTTCTGAGAACCACGCAATCTTCTCCCTCTGCGTCAGAGCTCATAGATCAGATCCTCCCTGTGGAGCTTTAAACATTTCTTACATAGAATCCCTCTATCTGCGCCTGCAACACCGATGCAGGATAAAGACTCGGCCAAACGCCTCTGAGAGGCATTAAAATACCTTTCAATGTCAAATTCCCCTCCACTGTTCTGACAGTAATAATCTCATTCTGGCTCCACAGATGAAAACACCTCGGAGATCCTTCTCCATGATGTTTGTCAACTCTGATTATCGAAAGGCAGGTAAATATAGCAGTGAAGTGATAAACCGTCTAGCATGGCACATGTCTCTGCTATCAGGTGACCAACTTCGAACTAAGGGGGATGTTGACTAAAAATAAACCCTCTCCCCAAGACCCGTCAGCTTTACGTGAACCTCATATTCTCCAGACCGACATCACTGTTCAGTATAATTGGCCATTTGGAATTGTTTTTAGGTAGTGGGATTTTGTCACTGGGATTTTCTCTGTTCGGATAAACAGTTTCTGTAGTGAATGCAGGGAACTGATGCCGAGAGCTGCCTGCTTTAAGAGTGAGATTGTTTGGATGGTCTCTCATGACTGATGTGTCTTAATTAAGGTAATGGACTCTTAAAGGTTGTGAGGTTTTAAGTCTTTAACTTTTAATATCACATCATTTTTGTATTTTTATTGATATATTATAATTAATTACACTCAATACACTCGTTTATAGTGATGTTTTCTGCCACAGTGCACTTTTCATATTCTAACAAGACATTTATTTTTAAAGGTCGCTTTTTCTTAAGATTAGTATGTACGCAAAACTTTTTGATGTTGTTGTTTTGCATGCGCATTAAATTTGAGTCATTAAACACTTTAACTTTAAGAGTCAGGTGTGTATTATAAATAATAATTGACCTCATTTATTTATGTTTTGCGTTATTTCTTCATAAGTCTTGCATCTGATTGAAGTGCATGATGACAGTTTAAGAGTAGCTTTAGAAAATCATGCGAGTAGGAAAAACAGGGCTGAGTCATAATCATCTGATAGCTCTGACGTAGGAATCACGTATGGAAATTACACACACACCGTTTGATACAAATCTAAATGGAAAATCATTCAGTCAGTCGCTTTTCCAGTGTAGCCCAACACCATCGGGCAACAATATAGATATATTGTCGCATGATTTTGCCCATGATGTATTGCAAAACATACTGTGGTTGTGCAATGGTGTATTGATAGTATCAGATTCTGAAAAACATATTTGTGTATTATAGTATTACCCCTTTTTTACTCAAGGTACTAAAAAATAGTATTCTAAAAATGAATCTTGCTTTTTAAAACGATCTTCAGCTCTCTATTTCTATGTGTCTAATTGTTTTCTTTTTCCATTTCCTCTCTCGCAGTGACGTGTGTGCAGTGATCCAGAGAGAGGAGATGACAGCTGAGTGGGTTGACAATCTGCTGCTCTTGGACACAGATGCTGTCAACTCTTCCCTTGCTTCAGTGCCCATAGAGCAAGATGAGTCGGTCCATGTCTCGGACAACCAGACGGATGACAGCTTCAGTTCAGTCCCTGATCAACAGCCGAATCCAGGTTCAGAAAGCTCTGGATTAATGCCAGTTCTGTGCCAGGGCAGGACCACGGAGATCCATAGTCCAAACATTCACGAGGCAAGAGACGATGAGAACGGTTTAATCTTAACACAGCCAGTGGATCAAACTCCACTGATTGAAATGAAAATAAATCAACCAAATGTTGATAAAAGCAATACTTGGGACTTCAATATTGGTGTTGTAATTGAGACTGACAATATTATGCACAACAACCCTGACCTAATTAAACTTATGGACGTGGACGTGGTGATTGACAGAAATCAAAATAACAAACATAGTGACTTAAACACTATAGAGGATCTAAATGATGCTCATGGGACTTTAATGAGTCCAGAAGTTCCAACATTAACAGAACACAACAGCCAAGAAGAAATGGGCCAATACACCATTTTAAACCAATATTCTTCCTCTGGACTTGAGGTTAGCCAAATGGCTAACGATGACGATCCGCTGCTAAATGCTGTCTCTGATGTAACGAATATTGAGCAACACCATGACCAACCATTCTCGAAAGCAAACAATGAGATTGATGGAACTTCCTCTGAATCTTTCATCCAGACCTGCCAGGAAACTCCTGAATATATTGATGTATCTGTGGAAGGAGCAACTCCCTGTAACACTTACCCAGAGATGCATGCCATTGCAGAGGGCTTGACGTGTGGCGGCTTCACAACCTCCCAGACACCAAAGATGGACAATCCAATTACTGACATCCCTATATGCTTGGGCGATTCGCACGAAGCAGACACTCTAAATATCTTAACACATGCCTCCACATTATTAGATTCTTTGGGGATGACCAACATCTTGGAAACAGCTGACATGCCTAAGAATGACAGTGACATAATTCAGACTATAAATAAAGACTTGGCTTCCTCAAATGTTGGGTTTTGCACTGCCGTTTTAACCCAGACGGTTCAGAATCATCATCAGGTTCCAGAACATCTGGTTTCTGATGATTCCATGCTTGATAGAATGATTGATACTAAATTCTCATTGGAAGACAGTAGAGTGCAACCATTGGTGACTTGTAGCCATGAACCGAGTGCAACAATTGATAATTCGGAGTCAATTCTCCCCCAATCCATACTTGAAACCCCACAGGTTGGTGAAAAACATGAGAAGGATCTCTCACAAGTGGTCCTCTGCCCAAGAACTGTCACAAATGGAGATTTAGGTAAACGTTCTGAGGAGATCGAGTGCGCTTGCTTAAAGTTCACAGGAACAGAACGTGATGTTGAGGCTGGTAGTGAGTTGTGGCTGGACGCTTTCCAGTTCTTGGCAGGTGAAGAGGATGAGGGTGCTATTTTTGACAAGGGGGGTCGTTCGTGCTCTCCCAGCCCCCTTTCGACCCATACAGACAACACAAAAGCCGCGGATCACACCAGGAGGGAAGACAATTCAATTGACCACCATGCTGAGGACTGGGAGCTGAAGTTTCCACCTGTTGAGAGGTGGTCATCCTCAGACAGCTGGGCTAGCGCTCTTTCAGACTGGTTCCAGGCTGTTAACACCTATCCGGAAGACTCTTTTACCAGCGCTAACACTTCAAGCACTGGTTCCAAGCACAGCATGGCAATCCAGGACAACATTTTGGAGCATAAAACAGGCCCACATAATGCAAACAACAACGGACAGACTGGTCTGAACCTCCTAGAAACAGAAGAACCAGGTCAAGCCTCAAGTAGAGGACAAGTCGAGTCTGATAACACTAATGGAACTTTTTTTAAACAAGGAGATGAAGACGGGTTTCCTTCTCATTTAGACGCAGACAGTCGGGACAATGCAGTGATGGGGACTTTGATTAAGTCTGAATCTCTTAAACCAGATAATAATACAGCCATGGATACGTTTAATGCATCAAAGTCATGTATGTCTTCTGCAAATGAATTCAATGCCGAACTAAATGGAAGTCAGCACATCCCTGGAGAGCTTTGGAGTCGAAAGGTGAGATGACTAGCACATTTCAAATACAATTAGCAAAGGCAGATTTAGACTCTGGAGTATTCTTTAGGTCTTTTGCGATTTGTTTCGACAGATTTATACTTCAGAGTTAGTTCAGAGTAACCTTAGTTCAGTGATGGGATCATCACACATACACAATGTTGCTGAATGATTTCTGTATTCGTATATCATGAAACTTACAAGCTACTGAACTTTAAAGAATGCACTGTAGATCTCCAAAAACATGCTATTACACAAACACACAAAAATGGAAAAACCGTGGTATTTTTTTTACATTGTGTTGTTAGTGACCATTTCCATTACGCAAAAACTTGTAAATGTTACCGTGCCAGTATGTGATCTTAAATAGCCTGTCACCTTTAACATTTCCTTTAATAGATCTTACATGTGTTGAATACATTATTTATTATGACACTCTGTGTGCTGGAAGAGCCCAGTCATTCCACACAGGAATTTCACTTCATAATTTACACACACACTCTCTCTAGCTCTCATACACACACATACAAACACATTTAGCTAATCTAACTTACTTACCTAACTTACTTTCTAATTATAATAGTTGACCATTTTCTATATTAAATAGTCAAAATTTTCTACAATTAAATATTTTTTTATTTTACTTTTCTTTTTCTACCCAAAAGGAAGTTGCGTTATCTAACTTCTAGAGTCATTATCGACAAATTCCTCCCCAAAGCATGGCTCAAACACACTCACTAATACTTCAACATTCACCACCCCCTACATTCATGACCGATAGCTGGGGCTGCTGAGGAAATGTGAGGTGCAGAGAAAAATACTGATAAACAAAAATGCAGACTAATTATAGAGAGTGACTGATGATAATAGACCAGAAAGCAAAAGAGGAACTGGAGAGGCAGGGGGTTGAGGGGCACGCACGAGCACAGCTGAGGGCCGAAATACGACCCCTGCTCGCAACTTCAGTGTCGTACTGTACGGCAGTTTCTCCAATCCCACAGACCCCTGAGCCAGTGGGAAAGCTGTGATTGGTTCACCTGTGTTACACAGTGGCTGTGATCACTATAATAGAGATGATCTTTACCATTGCCAACCACATGTGGCTTTAGACTGCTGCATGAAAGCAGAATGATTGTTGCAATAGGCAGACCATCGCCTCAGTGAGGTATGTAAACAAACACTGACATCCAGTTTGGATGAGGATAGGCCTAAATTGTGACTTATTCAATTCCTGTGTTGACTTTATTGTCTCTAGATAACATTTAATGTTTTTGTCCATGTTTTCTGTTTCAGTCGGAGGGAAATACGCTGGTGGAGGTGACTGAAGACAAAGTTTCCGTACTCGGATCGGTCTTCGATGAGGAACGTCAAAGCAGCTTTTCTTCTCAGAAGATCTCAGCTTACACCAGCAACAAGCATTTAACTGGCTGTGTGAGTGGCGACGAGCGGCGTCACGGCTCCAATGTGAACCTCCACACATGTCCCTCTCAATCAGACATTCACTTTTCTTCTGAGGAGGGACGTGCTGAAGGAAATGGATTGTTTGTGCATTCTAACTCTGAGGACTGTCCCGTGAAGCCAAGAGAAAAGGAAAGAAATACAATTCCAGAGTTTATTATGCCGTTTGCTCCACTCTGTTCTGGAAATAATTTCCTCAATCATAGTTTATTGAAAGAGGACAATCCACAAGCTGATCTAGGTCATCCTCCTAAAGGGATTATTAATGAGATACACCTTAAGAGTGATCAAAATTCAGTCAGTAATAACAATTATTCTGAAGACCGCTTTCATACATGCCCTGAACAGTCTTCATCTTCATCCGTTGTAGATTCAGATGATCCTCCCATCAAGGATAAGCTTTCTAAGTTACTTTTACTGACAGGAGAGCATTTCATGGTGTCTGAGAACAAACGTGTTGCATATGTTACTCTAGATTTGGAGGAACCCAAAAGTTTGAGTCATTTTTCCTTGTCAAACTGTGAGGAACGCCCTAAAACAAACACTATGCCTCAAAAGACCTCAGATGGTAAAACGCGCTCTAAACATAAGGAGAAACCAGCTGAGAAGCAGCAACATGGGATTCAAACATCAAAAAAGCAAGATCTTCAGTTTTCCTCCCAGGTGAAAGACAAATTCAACTCAGAAGAAGCTGGTTGTAAAGATCTTCCAGTCACTGTCATTGAAACCATCGTCATCACAGAGAAGATCGTTCCTAAAACCCAAGGGAAGAAGAAAAAGAAGCACGCGCAACATAGTACGCCAAAACCCGAGAATGATCCACGGACTAACATAGGGAGCAGGAACGCTCAGAAGAGCACAATTGGCAAGACAGAGAACCTTGAAGTGAAGGTGGCGTCAAATGGTCTGGAAAAACCAGCATCTCATCTTCCCACCAAAATGGACATTACTAACAAAGATAGCTCTCAAAAAGTCATGACAGTGAGACCCAAAGTCGAACTCAGTGGGGCCAAGATTAACCCTGGCAGAATAAATGCCACTCAGAAAGCTGTCCCTATAAAACTCAAAGCAGACGCCAGTAACACAGCCAAGATGGAAAACAAGACGTGCAACTCAGAGTCTCAGAGCACGTGTTTACCCAGTATGCCAAATGACGACATAAAGCGCAGGCGAATTGCAGACATGTCTGGAGCAGTTTCGATAAGGACAAGACCACAGCTGCCTGCAATTTTCCGCCAAGCAAGAAAAGATGGAGAAGATGTGCCTCGAAGAGCTTACAGTGATGCCGTCAAGCAGAAGATTCCAACACCCAAAGAAGGTTCTCCAAATGCATTCCTGTTCAACTTAGTTTTAAAAGCCAATCCAGTAGAACAGAGCTGAAGTCTACGATATTGGCACTCGGGGAGCAGGAATGGTCCTGCTCCATTAAGCCCAATGATCTGCAGAGTCTAACTTCAACCTGCCCAAAACACACTTGTCTGGAAGTGTTCTAGTAATCCTGACGACCTTGATTAGCTTGTTCAGGTGTGTTTGATTGGGACTGGAGCTAAACTCTGCAGAATAGTGTTAGAACTGGACACACTCTCAAAAGAACATTAATGCCTGGTTTCAAGTCCCAGACTAAAATTCATGTTTGAGCTGTTTTAACTGAAAGCAACTTGCACTGGCATGTCGTAAAATATGTCAGTGCCATTGTTTTGTCTCCGGCCCTGTTTATACGTAAAAAAGTGCCTTTCGTTTACACGGCGATGAGGTTTTTGGGGCTTAAAAACGCAAAAAAACTGAAACCACCCTCCAGAGTGGAAATCTTAAAAACGTTCCACCGTCTAAAGGGAAACGCTAAAAACGTAAAAGTCTGCTAGACAGTGAAGGTTGTACGCAGGCGCGCAGACTTGGTGTTGTTGTTCACATTGCCACCAAGCAGCCTGGAGTGCATACTACATCGAATTTCACACACTTTTGCGTCACCATTTGCACGTGGATTTCCCACCCATAATGCTCGTCTAAACGCAGAATAAAAAGTGATAACGCAACGCCACTTTTGCATTTTCTCTTCAGATCATTTCCGTGTAAACATAGCCTCAGTATGCAAACCAGTAATGTTTTTTTTTTTCTATAGGCACATTTATGAAAAGCTACTTAAATGTCCTAATTGAACTAAGGCCTAATCCTGGCTTAATCTAAACCCTGTCTGTGAAACCAGGTTTTTGTGTTTTATTTTTACCAGTTGCTGTGACAGAAATGTCAGAATCTTGCTGGAAAAAACTCCAACGTGAGCTAGTCTGCTGGTATTAGCTGGTCTCCCAGCTCAGTTTAGGTGATTTTAGTTGGCCACCCTTGGGAGACTTGCTAATCACCTTAGCCTGGTTTAAGCTGTTTTTACGGGTATGCAGATGATCAAATATTGCACTATTAAGTGGCTATGTGAAAAATTGTTTATAAATGACATATTTCTATCTGTTTATGTTGTAGTTGTGGTTCCTCGTGTAGTCTCAGAGATCCAGGCTGACCCAGTCCCTACTGACCCCCAAAACATCTTACTTTGGTGCCAGTTCAGTCCCATCCCACCTGATGCCACCATTAAGTGGACTAAAGAGGGAACAGTGCTGTCAAACATAAACGAAGTGTAAGATAACCCTCTTTACCCATCAGTCCCCACTTTATCGTCTGACTTTGGGTCCAAACATAATTAATTAACTAAGATGACCACATTTCTGAAGAGCATCATCGTTACTTTTTTTACCACTTGGTGTCACTCTGTTCTTGTCTAAATCTGCTGTACATTTTGGCAGAAACCCGACTGAACATCAGTGATTCAGCCATGAGTTGGAGTGAGAGCAAAATTAACCTTTTACATAACCATGTGATTCATTCCTACGAAATGCTGACTATGCCTCAGACACTCTCAAACAGGCCTCTGCTTTCCAGAATGGCCCTTCTTAGTTGTTTTGTATACTGTATAATATGGATTCAGGGATGGACATCTGCGTTAACCACTGTATTTATTTAGTCTTTAGGACCTTGACAGTTGATTAAGTAATTGAAAATATTTGCCCAAATGTGTGAAGAATTATTGATTTACTAGGTTTTCCTTTTTTCTGCAGAGAGAAGGATGACGGCCGCTTCACACTGACAATCCTAAATGCTTGCAGTAAAGATCTAGGGCTGTACAAATGCAGTCTAATTGCCACCAACGTTTCTGTTTCGACCTTAGAGTACCATCTCACATCTGAGGGTAAGACATAGAGGGCTGCTTTCCCAGATTAATTTAAATTAAAGAGGCTATAAATTAAGATTTTAATTTGCTAAAGTACTCCATGACTAAGCAGAAATTTACAGCAGGATATTTCATTTATGCTCTGAAGCTTCATCATAAGATTGATGTAATAGACAAAAAAAAAAAAAAAAGATTTTCACACTTTCAAAATGACTTGCTGAATTTGATACCGCTTGACTGGTAATTTAGTACATTCTGCAAGTATGCATGTTTGTTGAATGAATACAATTCAAATATACTACACTACTATTCAGTTTTGAAATAAAATTATATGTTTATTCAGCTAGGATGCATTCAGTTGATCAAAAGTGACAGTAAAGACATTCATGATGTTTTTCTTTGAAATGAATGCTGTTCCTGGATAAAATCAGTACAACTGTATTTATTTGATCGGAAAAGAACAGTAAAATAGTTATTTTGTGTAATATTATTACAATTAAGAATTGTATTACAATTATTACAATTTTACAATTTTAATTTTTTCATATAATTTCAATCCATTTTAAAATATAATTTATTCCTGTGATGCAAAGCTGAATTTTCAGCATCATTACTCCAGTCTTCAGTGTCACACGATCCTTGAGAAATCATTTTAAAATGCTGATTTGCTGCTCAAGAAACATTTCTTACAGTTCTTTAATGTATACGTGTTCAAAAGCACAGCATTTGTTTAAAATATACATTTTTACAAAACATTATCAATGTCTTTGTTACTTTTGGCCAATTCAATGTGTCTTTGCTGAAAAAAGTATACATTTCTTTAAATACATTTTTTACTGACCTCAAACTTTTAAGGCGTAATGTATATATTTCTTAATTTTTCTTGTCTGGGAGACCAATCCTCACATTGTAAATCTGTAAACACGAGAAGACAATAAAATAATGGCAGCTTATTGCACACATTGACTCAACTGTCTACATTTTGAATTGCAGTGCTTATGGAACTAGTCATTCCGAGTCATTATCAACCAGGTAAACAGACCTTAATTTCATGGTCTCATGAGAATCTGCAGAGTAGCAAAACTATTATGAACGTTTTATTTCATGCAAATCTGATAGATGTGTGTTTTAAATGGATTGGTTAGTGATACAAAAGTTCTCCCCCTCTTTAATCTCTTAGCTGAGCCCAGAGTTGTGAACGGGGACGAGGAGAACGTCCAGTGCAGCTCGCTTCTATTTAAGGAGGATTTTCTCTCAGATCAGTACTTTGGAGAGAATAAATCAGCCAGCATTGTGACTGAGAAGATCCACTTCGGTGAAGGCATGCACCGCAAGGCTTTCAGAACCACTCTTAGAGAAGGCAATCTCCCACGATTTAACCCTGGCCATCCCTGCGTCCTGAAAGTCCACAACGTCATCAGCTATGGGACTAAAAATAATGAGGAACTTGTCCAGAAGAACTACAACCTGGCTGTGGAGGTGAGAATGCATGTCTTCAGGGAAATGTTTAATTAAGAAATGAACTAAAGGAAATTTGGGACTGATTATTTTTTCTGTGTTAACCAGGAATGTCATGTGCAGAATACCGCAAGGGAATATATTAAAGTGTACAGTAGAGTGGCCAAGTCTGCTGAATCATTTGGAGAGGTGCCAGAGTAAGTATATCAAAACTCTGTCTACACAAAACTGACATTAATTGATGCTTTAACACTCAATTAAAAGTTAAAGGTATCGTTCTTGAGTGAAAACGTTTCCACATTTACTTAATTAAAAAGTAAACTTAAATAGTATTTGAATTTTGACAGTACTGAACTTAAGAATTAGGAAAGAGTTTCTAATTAAAGTAATGTGTATACAGTGTTCAAAAGTTTGGGTTGGGTTGGTAAGAATTGTTTTGTTTTTTTAGAAAGAAGCCTCTTTTGCTCACCAAGGCTGCATTTATTTAATCAAATATTCAGTAAATATTATTCCAAATGTATAAAGGTGTTTTCTATTTTAATAGAATATAAATGTATTCCTATGGAGGCAAAGCTGAATTTTCAGGAGCCATTCCTCCAGTCTTCAGCTTCTTGTTATCAAAAAGTGGAAACCGTGATATATTTTTTTCCAGCTCTTTAATGAATAGAAATTTCTATAGGACAACATTTACAGTTGCAATTGAATTTATTCAACCTCATTGCAAATTAGGTTAATTGGCTAAATTGACTGAAACGTCTAAGTAATTGAAATAGCTCAACACCAAATGTTTCAAGTGGTTTCCCCAAATTCAACAGAAAATGACACTTAAAATTATTCAACCCCTTCTTGGCAAGCATATTTAGTACTTAGCAGAACACCCTTTTGCTGTTATGACCTGCTGCAAACGAGATGTTTAACCAGACACCAGCTTCTGGCAGCGTTTCTGAGGAATCTTAGCCCATTCCTCGCCAGTTTAAGCCTCCGGTTCAGGAATGTTCTTGGGTTAGGGTGACTGGCGGCCACTGTAGAATCTTCAAGGACTTCTTCTGCAACCACGCTTTGGTGGAATTCGAGGTATGCTTGGGGATCATTGTCCTGTTGGAAAGTCCAATGACACCCAAGCTTCAGCTTCTTCACTGACGGTATGCCGTTCTCTCCTAGGATTTCCTGATACTTCAATGTATCCATTTTGCACACTGCAGGTGTCCATCACCGAACCACCAGAATGCTTAACTGTAGATAGAGTGTTCTTTTCAGCATATGCTTCATTCTTCTTCCTTCAGACATACCGCTGATCCATAGGGCCGAAAAGTTCCAGTTTTGTTTCATCGCTCCACAGAACAAAATCACAAAAATTCTGTGGCTTATTTCTATGATTTTGAGCAAATCAGAGCCAACTTTTCTTGTGCTTTTGGGTCAGTAGTGGTAGTTCTGGCCTTACTGTGCAAGCTGAAACCTCAGTACGTGTTGCCAGCAAGTCTTGCTGCAGGTCTTTTTGAGTCACTCAAGGGTTTTTCTGAACCTGAAAGCTGGCTGCAGCCATTGATGGCTTCATTTTTATGCCCCTTCTAGTGTAACCACTGTTCCTTTAACTTTGAACTTGTGAACTTTGCTTCCAAAGGTGTCTTTAGGAACATTTAGTGCCTTTACTATCTTTTTGTATCCTGTTTTTGCAGGGCGTTGATATATTCTCTTATCTTTTTGAACCATTCTTCTGACTTAGCCATACTGTATTTCTAACATGCAGTCAAACATGACGCTCGAGTATTCGATGTGTTCTAGCTCAAGCACACCTGGTGCAAGTAATGAAGCCCTTGATTAGTTGCATCATGTGTGCTTGAGAAAGATTTTGCAGATTTGTGCTGTTCAGGATTCTATTCAGGGGGTTGAATAATTTTGAGACTGAAGAAGTTGTATTTTCAGTTGAATTTCTGAAAACCACTTGAAACATTTGTTGTGTTGAGCTATATTTCATTATATTCCAACATCATATATTTTTCATTGCAAACAGCTGAAGGTCTATAAATGTTGCCAATAAATCTGATTTGCAATGGGTGTTGAATAATTTCAACTACAACTGTATTTGAAATAGAATTTCATAGAATTGTATCATTGTTTTTTACTGTCACTATTGATAGAAATAAAAAAATTATTCATTAAAAAATATCTTTCTGACCCCAAACCTTTGAATGGTAGTTTACAAGACGTATATTTACACACAAAGAAAGTGAATTAATCAGCATTCATAAACATTCCCAGAATCATCCCTGTTTATTTGGTGCACCGGCCGTCTAACGACATCCCTTACGCCACGCTGGAGGAGGAGCTGCTGGGAGACTTTGTGAAGTACTCTGTGAAAGATGGGAAGGAGATCAACCTGATGCGCAGAGACTCTGAGGCGGGACAGAAATGCTGTGCTTTCCAGCACTGGGTCTACACACAGACCGAGGGCAACCTGCTGGTCACCGATATGCAGGGTATTTATAATACTTCAATTTTACCTACGATCAGTGTTGCACATCATGACATGTACAGTATAGATGAAGGTTGTAAATGGAGTGAAGCAGAACATTTTAAAGATTCACACTTTTTCTCCTTCAACAGGTGTCGGTATGAAACTAACAGATGTTGGGATTGCCACCTGTAAAAAAGGGTAAGTTATTAATCAAATATCTAACAAATGTATCCTATATTTTGATGTTTTATTAAATATTTTGAAATATATAAATATATTTAACAGAAATGTATAAATAATAATAATAGTACATTTATTTAAATATTAGTTTCATATTTTAATATGTAAATATAAATATCATAGGCCTATCCACAAAATTAGAGCTGCACGATTCTGAATAAACTTCTCCCATGATTCTGAATAGACAACTAAACAAAATAACTAAATAAAATAACTTTACTAGAGGTTCTGACAAAACAGTATAGTCTAATTGGTATACCCTATTCCAAAAATATTGAATTAATTTGAATGTTTTCTAAAACATATTAATCAGGTTTGAATGAATGATTTAATGACTCTCTCATAAATACTTCACTTGTTTCATTACTGGATGAATCAATGTTTTTTAATGAATCTCTTGAATGAATGTTTAGAATGAATGAAATACATTTTAACAGTCACTTCGATGTAATTAATCCAATCTTTATTTGAAGCGCCGTTACTTTCAAATGGTGATGTACACTATTTTGATCGCTACATTAAAAGTCTGTGTTTATATTTGAACTCTAAACTTTTATCCCAGGTTTCCTGTGATAGTTTGAATTATTGTTCACAGAAATAATGACACTGTTGTGTTGAAAAGATGTTTATACCTTTACATGACAACTGCCTTCTCTGGCTCAGTGGCATTACCAACATAAAGTTGAATAATTTCACTGAGATCATACTTTTCAAAGGTTTGAATCGTTGTCATTTAGAAATAAGATTGTGTGGGTATTTGAATTAAGGTCGGGAGTTTTTAATGATTTATCGTGCAGCTCTAAAATAATAAATTATAATAACAACAAAGTATTTAACCTACGCCCACTTCTATTTAAGTGAAATTAAAAAATTTGTGTGGTTATTATGAAAGCAGTAAATTGATTTTTATTGGTGCAGCTATAAGGGATTCAGGGGAAACTGCGCCATGTCCTTCATTGACCAGTTCAAAGCTCTGCATCAATGCAACAGCTACTGTGAGCTACTGGGCCTGATGTCCCTCCAGCCCAAGCCAAAACGCACCGTTGCCCCCCCAAAGCCAAAGACACAACATGTGCCAAAGAAAAAAACCTTTGGCCCTGTTCTGAGTGGCAAATCCTGATTGGACAGAAGCCCTGAACATTTGCTTGTAGGAAAAGTCGTGTTTGGAGGTTTTAGCAATGAAGTCTTGCTTAGGGACAATTGTGTTTCTGAGATGTTTCTTTAAATGTAAGATGACATTCATCTGTAAGGACATTAGGGAGGTTTCTTCTTTCTTGAGAGCTCTTTTTGCTAATTTAAATAAGCTTATTGCTGATTTGTATTTATTTTTTCAAATGTTTTTTTAAGGGGTGAGTGGATTGTGAAAGAATTGATTTAATATTTTTGTTAAAATCAAAGAAAGATAGAACGTTACCAGCCTAGGGTTTTATCCTGAATTCCTGATTTACTCTGTTGAAAAGTTAATAGTGCCAGTGGTGCTGCCATGTTTCTTTATTATTAGCCTACTGCCACTATTCTATAATAGACATGCCAGAATAATAACAAAGAACTGGAAATGGTTCCTTATGTTATTATGAATGTTTTTTTTTTTTTTATGATAGTATGTTGAGTTTATGTAATAGATGAAGCTTGAAAAGTAAATTCACCCAAAAAATTAAATTCTGTCATTAATTACTCACCATAATGTCGTTCCAAACTCATAAGACTTTTGTTCATCTTTATAACACAAATGAAGATATTTTAAATGAAATCTGAGAGATTTGACAGACAGACTCACAACTGATGAGTTGATGAATGTTTATATGTGAATAAAAGCTGTTCATCTTATTACGTGATCGTTTTTCTTTTCGAATTTGGACTAAACCGCTCAATTCATATTTAGTTTTACAATCTCTTTAGGAACTTTTTGAATTATCAAAGTGGCAGTTGCGTAGACTGTCAATGGAGGGGCAGAAAACTCCCAGATTTCATAAAAATATCTTCATTTGTGTTATAAAGATTAACGGTCTGACACAACACAAGGGTGAGTAATTAATGACAGATTTTTCATTTTTGGGTGAACTATCCCTTTAAATATTTACTTTATGAGTGAGATGAATGTACACTAAAAATTGTTAATGTAACTGCTAGAACTGAATGTTGGAAGCTGCTCATTTTCAATGTTAAAATATTTCATTGACTTTTCATTAATAATATTTCATTTAGTTTACTTTAATGATGTGCTGTTAGTCTCTGGGTAGGTAGGATAAGGTGATGAATATGATACAATGGAAAAGTTTGTGCACTTGCCCTAGTAAACAGCTGTTGACTTGCCTCAGTAAGAATGACAATCCTCCCACCTTCACGTTTCGCATCCTCTTTTGAAAGTCAAATGACTTACTGCCTCATCATTACTATATATAAACACACGTTTGAAGCAACATATTTGTCATGTTAATGAACCGCACAAATGAATCACCTGCAATTAAAAACTGTGATGTTCGCTGCTTTATGCAAATCTAGATAGTCTTATATTTAAATATTAGTAGTGAATATGGGCTGAAGGTCATATAAGATTTTTGATTTGACTGAGCTTCAATCCTGTATTGGCTTTTTATTGTCTTTTCTGAATGATATGTATAATAATAAATATTGTTTTGTTTTTTCTTTTTTTGAGTATGGGCTTATTTTTAATAGAAAATCATGTGTTACAAATAACATTTGACCCATTAAAACACTTCAAAATTCTGTAGATTTTATTGTCACGGAGATACCACATTAATACAGAATACAATATGAAGGAAGCAAGCATCACATGACACGCATACTGAACTCATTAATCATCATCTAATAACAGTAACTGGGTCAGTAGGCAGACACGATCTATTACATCTGTTTTCGGCAGATGCCAATTTATCAATCTTACAAAGCCACACGTAAAGACACAAAGGTATTTCCTATTCCCACAATAGAATCCCACAGCCTGTGACATCATCTGTTTCTCTTCGCTGCTGATTGGCTGAGGGGGTCGCGTCGCGAGGTCTCACCGTGGCTATTTAGTGTGAAAATGGCGTTTGACGACACAGGATACAAACACCATTGTCACACTCCACAGCTCAGGAGGAAAACAAACAAATAGACAGACAGATGCATTGCAGGTTGGTAACATTGTTTGTGCTCATTCCACAAGTAGTTTTATCAACTGTTGTAAATTGTAACACTACACTTTTACTTTATAGTATGGTAAGAAAAAGGAATTCGTCTTAACATTTCAGAATCTCACCAAAACCGCAACTTAAACTTAAATGCACTTAAATGAAATGAACAAGGCCAGGATAGGTCGCCCTTTCCCCTCTTCAGTCAGCAGTCGATTATCGTCTTCTGTTTACATGTTGGTCAGTGGAGTGGACGGTGATGGGAACAGTGCAGATGGTTTCTTTTAAACCATTTGTTATCATTATTGAACATTTTTAAATATGTCGTAACAATAAAGTAACCTTAGAAACCAACAACCATCAGAAGTTAAAGTTGTGCTAAATGGTTCCATTGCCACTCCATTTAAAACAAAATAAATAAATATGGGATAGCTATTAAAATGTCATGTACAAGAAAATGACTAAGGCAATGCATAATTTTTCAATATAAGCATCATGAAGTCAGTGTCAATATCCTTCAGAAATCATTCTGATATGCTGATCTGATGCTCAAGGAACATTTCTTATTGTTATCAACGTTAAATTATTAATAGAAAGTTCAAAAGAACAGCATTAAACATTTTTGTTTCTGGAAATTAAATACATTAACAAAAAAAACCCTATAAAATATTAATATAATTAAAATCAGATAGTTGCCAAGCCTTCTATTTTTGTGTACTAAAATAATCATATATATATATATATATATATATATATATATATATATATATATATATATATATATATATATATATATATATATATATATATAACACAATTTTAACTAATTAATATAAAGAATATTCATGATATAATTGTACCTCAATGCTACAAAAATAACCATAAGTTTTGGTGAATTTCTGATCAGTTTCATGCATTCTCGCTGAGCAAAATTTGTAATTTATTTTAAAAAAATTATCCATTTATGTCCATGGATTGGAAACAAATAGTTGGAAATGTCTCTTTTTGAACTCTTTTATTAAACTACTAATTGACACTTAATAATTGTCTCTTTAAATCTTTTACAAAGATTTAGTGTTATGCGAAGACATTAAGTTTAGTCACTTCTGATCTGACCCTTTTGTTTGAATTAAATAAAATGCAAATTTTAAAAAGCAATAATTTGGTTGTTTATGAATCGTTTCTAATCGTCATGAATTTCCTACTGAAAAAAAAATGACTACCTTAAATATTAATAAGCTCAAATGATGATTTATTTTTGACACCGTATCCCTTCTCATTGTTTCTGTGGACAAGTTGACTTACCACAGAGCCTGTTTTGCAAAGATGGCTGATCCATGTGTTCCTCCATGCTGTAGGAATTAGAGCACTGAAAAAGAAACACTTCACAAAACAACCTCTCAGTGAACTACAAACACTATGTAGAAAACACTCACACACTTATCCTCTTGCAGGATTCCTCAGTCTGCAAGAAAACGAGAAACAAGTCCAGTCTCTGAACGGAGTTTTCCATGACTGGTCATTCTGCTCTCCTTTAACCTCCCTATATGTACCTAGAGAGGGTTTAGTCAAACAGTTTTGTGATAAGCTAAGAGAAGTATTGATCCGCAGTGACGTGGGGACGAGGTCACTAACCCAAACCCTGAGTGCTTATGAAAAAAAAAAACCCCTGTTGAAAAGCAGTTTCCAGTAAGCATTCTTATATGCACCAGACATCTGTAGGCTACCCATGAAAACAATCATGTGATATAAATAATGGTAAGACGATCTGAAATGCTTTGATTGGCTCTTGAATCAGTGATTAAAATGTATGGTTATTGATTTGGTCAGCCCAAATATTTCAGCAGGTGCAAAAGAAAGATTATATATAATCTGGACTGTATTCATTCCATTCAAATCCACGTAACATAACCGTCTTACCTAATGTCCAACACAGTCAGGCCTGCCGCAGTGTTACATTAACTGAAGCTCATTCCCTGTGTAGGTGCAGGTGAGTTTGGAGCTGGACTTGTTTGCGATTGCTAAAAGAGAGTGATAAAGTGTACAGGACAGCAAGCCGCTTTTATTTGCTTGTCCTTGGATCCGATAGCTGGCCGATTACATGTGTGAATGAACTGAGTTTCCTTCACCGCTGTGCATCACAGCTGTACACATGGCATGAGCCTCAGCTGAGTTCTGATTCATGGAGAAATTAAAAACCAGACATGATTTGACACACCGTTTAAAAAAACAAATACGTTTTTGAAATGTCATCATATAAAAAATAGAAAGCATATTAACCAGCATTTTATATTGTGAATAATATAAGCATAATTCATGTTAAATAATATGCAATTACTATTTATTATAAGAAATTTTTAATTAAAATATTTTACAGAATTATTTTGGAAGTTGCAAAAACTGACTTGACAGTATCCCGGCACATACAGTCATGGTCAAAATTGATGGCACCCCTGGTTAATATGATCAAAACTGGCTGTAAAAAATAAATCTGCATTGTTTATCCTTTTGATCTTCCATTCAAAAAAATGGCAAAATTCTAACCTTCATTGAAGTAAAAGAAAGTGGGAGTAAATCACATTATGAAAAAAAAGAATTTCTCAAACATGCTGGCCACAATTGTTGGCACCCCTAGAATTTATGAGAAAAATATCTCTGAAGTACATTCCCATTAATAATAAAATTTTTAAGCACACCAGGGTGACTAGGGACATGAAATTGTCCAGCTATGTTAAATATGAGGAAACACAAAGGCCAAATTCCCTTAATCATTCATCACAATGAGTAAAGACAAATAATATAGTTCTGATGTGCAGCAAAAGATGGTTGAGCTTCACAAAATTCAAAGTGGCTGTAAGAAAATATCTAAAGAATTGAAAATCCCCATTTTGACCATCAGGGCAATAATTAAGTTATAATCAACTAAAGATGTTAGGAATCTGCCAGGAAGAAGACGTGTGTCTATAGTGCCTTAATGGACGGTGAGGATGAAAGTTTGAGTGGCCAAAGACTCTTCAAGGATCACAGATAGAGAATTGCAGAGCTTAGTTGAGTCTTGGGGGTCAGAAAGCCTAAAAAAAAATTATCAAACAACCTCTACATCACCACATGTTGTTTGGGAGGGATTCAAGAAAAATCCTCCTCGCTCATCCAAGAACAAACTCTAGCATATTCAGTGGTCAGACACGACTGGATTTTCAAAAGGGACCGGATTCTATGGTCCGATAAAACGAAAAAAATGGCTTTTTGGCAGCAAACCCAGCAGATGTGTTTGGTGCAAACAGGGATGAAGAGTACCCCATGCCTACGGTTAAATATGGATCTTGTATGTTGGGGGCCTATTTATTTGCTGGAGGTCCTGGACATCTTGTTCAGATACATGGTATTATGGATTCTATCAAATATAAACAGATAAGAAATGAAAACCTGATGCCTTCTGCTAGAAATCTTATAATGGGCCGTGGTTGGATCTTTCATCAGGACAACGGTCCAAAACAAACATCAAAATCAACACAAAAATGTGCAAATGAGCACAAAATGCAGCTTCTGCCATGACCGCCCCAGTTCCCTGACCCTTCCAGACCTGAGATATTGAGATGGCATAAATGCTACGTGGGATCTCAATATCTCAGCTCTGGAAGGGTCTAGTGCCTCCATTTTTGCACTCAGGTCTATGTCCCATGGCCCTCTATCAGAATCCAGAGTTTCAAGAAGATTGGAGAAACTTATTTTTTCGCACAAAAAAAAAGGGGTAGCACTGTCGTTTTTTTTTTTCGGGTCAAAATTTTGAGTTGCTCTGATCTTCTTGAAAGTTTGGATTCTGATAGAGGGCCATGATACTTAGACCTGAGTCCTTAAATGGAGGCTCTAGACCCTTCCAGACCTGAGATATTGAGATATTTATAATGGCATAAATGCTAAGTGGGATCTCAATATCTCAGCTCTGGAAGGGTCTAGAGCCTCCATTTTTACACTCAGGTCTAAGTCTCATGACCCTCTATCAGAATCCAGAGTTTCAAGAAGATCAGAGAAACTCAAAATTTCGACCCAAAATTTTTTTTCTTTTTCGGGGCGAGAAATTAAGTTTCTCTAATCTTCTCAAAACTCTGGATTCTGATAGAGGGCCACAAAACTTTGCCCCGAGTGCAAAAATGGAGGCTCTGGACCCTTCCAGAGCTGAGATATCGAAATTTAAAATTTCGACCCGAAAAAAAAAACAAAAAACGACAATGTTACTACCCCTTTCGTTTTTTTTCATTTTCGGGCGAAAAATGAAGTTTCTCCAATCTTCTCAAAACTCTGGATTATGATAGAGGGCTGTGAGACTTTGACCTGAGTGCAAAAATGGAGGATCTAGACCCTTCCAGAGCTGAGATATCAAAATTCAAAATTTCGACCCAAAAAAAGAACGACAGTGTTACCCCTTTCGTTTTTTTCGTTTTCGGGCGAAAAAGTAAGTTTCTCCAATCTTCTCAAAACTCTGGATTCTGATAGAGGGCCATGAGACTTTCACCTGAGTGCAAAAATGGAGGCTCTAGACCCTTCCAGAGCTGAGATATCAAAATTCAAAATTTCGACTCGAAAAAAAAAAACGACAGTGTTACCCCTTTCGTTTTTTTTCGTTTTCGGGTGAAAAATTAAGTTTCTCTAATCTTCTCAAAACTCTGGATTCTGATAGAGGGCTATGACACTTTAGCCTGGCTGCGCCCTCCTACGCACTTCCGCTCAATTTCATTTTCCTTCAGTCCTACGTCTGGGACTGCTGTTTCCAGAAATCAATTTTTTTTAGGACCAATCAGCGAATAGAGGGAGTGGCTGAGAACGATGACGTTGATGCAGCGCGTCAGTTTGAGTTCAGTAATGGCAGCGCAGAAAGACGTGAGAAAAGCTATTCGGTCCGTTGTTGGATAAGAAACTGCCAAATATACAGAATCTAAAGCCGGATTGTTGTCGTCTCACCTCATGTTGCACAACGGAGGACCACGTGAAGGAGGCAGAAAGGTTGGAAGTTTGTGCTGGGCAGCTCGGTGAGCACGATGACCGTGACATTTTGGATGGACGCTTTAGCCTGGTGTTCAGAAGCCCCGAGTCCTGACTGCTAAACTATTGTTGAAGATCCGCTCAGGAGTCATGTCAGTAGCTCATTTATTCCCAACAGTAAATTTACTGATTCTTCTGATGAATAAAACATTTTGAGCCCCTTTGTGTACTCGTGCAGGAGGTTGGTGTGTCAGTTTTACATGTACAAAGTGGTTGTTTTTTTTAAATAATTGTCATAAATAAAAATGTGAAAACCCATACTTTAAAGACCATAGTTTGATTTTCAGTTTTAGATGTCACTGGTTTATTTGTTTTAATTAAAAAAAACCTAAATGCCATATAAAAATTTACAAACACATACTTTGAAGATCATAATTAAGGTAATTAAGAAACAATAAGACGTAATATGAAAAAATGTTGTTTATTACAAATCTGCAGATAGAGACAGATCATCCACTGTACAGCATTTGCGGCAGATCAGACAACAACCACAGTGGCGTATTTGTAATGATTAGACAGAGCTTTGACTGTTGAATGAATACATTGCTCTCCTTCGTGTCAAATATACTTTTCGAATTAATAATTGTTCCTAGATTAGCAAAACCTGCAGCTCTCGTTGACTGAAATCCTATTGTAAACATAATCCTCTGATCATTCGGACTTCTTGTTTCCAGCCGTTTCGGCGCATGACATACGTCACTCACGACCACACGTTAGCGATTGGCTATGGCAGATCCTGAGTGACTCTTGGCAGATCCAAAAGTTTTGAACTTTAACAGTGAACCCGCCTACAAGGAAGTAAACGTTTCTCAATGGAGAAAGGCCAGACTCTATGTACAAATGAAATGTACTAGAGTCTGGTTGAACCAGGCTAATGAGACTTAGACCTGAGTGCAAAAATGGAGGCTCTCGACCCCTCCCGAGGCGAGATATTGAGATCCCACGTAGCATTTATGCCATTATAAATATCTCAAAATCTCAGGTCTGGAAGGGTCTAGAGCCTCCATTTTTGCACTCAGGTCTAAGTCCCATAGCCCTCTATCAGAATCCAGAGTTTCAAGAGGATTGGAGAAACTTATTTTTTCAAAAAAAAAAAAAAAAAAAAAACGAAAGGGGTACCACTGTCGTTTTTTTTTTAGGGTCGAAATTTTGAGTTGCTCTGATCTTCTTGAAACTCTGGATTCTGATAGAGGGCCATGAGACTTAGATCTGAGTGCAAAAATGGAGGCTCTAGACACTTCCAGAGCTGAAATATTGAGATCCCACTTAGCATTTATGCCATTATAAATATCTCAACTCTGGACGGGTCTAGAGCCTCCATTTTTGCACTCAGGTCTAAGTCCCATGGCCCTCTATCAGAATCCAGAGTTTCAAGAAGATTGGAGAAACTTATTTTTTCACCCAAAATAACAACAACAACAAAACGAAAGGGGTACCACTGTCGGGTTTTTTTTTCGGGTCAAAATTTTGATTTGCTCTGATCTTCTTGAAACTCTGGATTGTGATAGAGGGCCATGAGACTTAGACCTGAGGGCAAAAATGGAGGCTCTAGACCCTTCCAGAGCGGAGATATTGAGATCCCACGTAGCATTTATGCCATTATAAATATCTCATTATCTCAGCTCTGGAAGGGTCTAGAGCCTCGATTTTTGCACTCAGGTCTAAGTCTCATGGCCCTCTAGCAGAATCCAGAGTTTCAAGAGGATTGGAGAAACTTATTTTTTTGCACAAAAAAACAAACAAAACGAAAACGGTACCACTGTCGTTTTTTTTTTTAGGGTCGAAATTTTGAGTTGCTCTGATCTTCTTGAAACTCTGTATTCTGCTAAAGGGCCATGAGACTTTTTTTTTTTTTTCGTTATCGGGCGAAAAATTAAGTTTCTCCAATCTTCTCAAAACTCTGGATTATGATAGAGGGCCACGGAACTTTGACCTGAGTGCAAAAATGGAGGCTGGTTCAGATGCGCAACCCGTTT